GCCAAAGGGAGATCAAGCGCACAGCAACTGAGCTGATGCAAGTTAGCCAGAAGGATGGGGAGTCTTTGAGGGATTACATGCAGCGGTTCAACAAAGCCACATTGGACATTGATAATGTCCCATATACAATCTGCTTGTCCGCCCTGTTACACGGGTTGAAGCGTGGCCGGTTCCTAAACGACCTGCTTGAAAACCCACCGAAGACGTGGAACGAAGTGAATGACAGGTCGGCCAGCTTCATACTGTCAGAGGATTTTCAGTCGTCCAAGCGACGAGCTGACGATAAGCCGAGCAGAGGCCAGGAACAACCACCGAGAAGAGAAGAGAAGAAGAAGCAGAAGGTCGGTGAGCAATAGGGAAAACCAGCTGAGTTCCCGAAATATGCCAGTTACATTCCTTTGACCTTACCTAGGTCGCAAATCCTGGCACAAATTTAGCATTGGGTTAGGAGGCCTCCGCCCCCGCTGCATGATTCCCCGAGGGCAGATAAGAGCAAGCATTGTGACTACCACCGCGTATATGGTCACAATACAGAGGACTGCCAGCACTTGAAGGATGAGTTAGAGTTCTTGGCTCGTAACGGGAAGCTAGAAGGGTATATTCAGAAGCCTCACACCCAGCAACCCGCTCAAACCCATTTTGTGCAGGCGTACGACCGACTTCAAGGACAGAGGTACCAGCATGGTGGGACACAGGATGCATATCAGGATAACCAGTATCCTACTGAACAGAGCAGAGCGTACCGAGGACGTCCTTTCAACAGGAGAGGGCAGGGACCGAGAACTACCGCCCCGAATCAAAAAGACAGGAAAGGGGTAGGTTATGCGGGGATACCCCCACCTTCTGGCACAATAAACATGATATCGGGAGGTGTTCACTCAAGGGGCCAAAGCGCCCGAGCTCGCAAGGCATATGCTCGACAGGTGATGACCGTCAACAAAAACAGACCATTGAAACGGCCGTTTGAGGAAGCAGAATGGGAAAATACGCCCATTACGTTCAGCCCGGCAGATTACAAGCGAGCAGAAGGAGAGCCCGACGTTATGATGCCCCATGCAGATCCCTTTGTGGCAACAGTTCATATAGGCAATCATAATGTCAATAAGGTGTTTATTGACACGGGCAGTTCACTAGATATCCTATACTGGGGTTGCTTCCAGAAGATGCAGCTAAATCCGAGCTCGCTTCAGAAGCATGAAGGGCCAATATACGGGTTTGATAACCAGCCCGTCCCAGTTGAAGGAGTTATTACCCTTCCTATATATGTGGGCTCAGAACCGCGCTTCAGGATGGCTTCCGTCACCTTCCTGGTCGTTAAGATGGAATCAGCTTTCAATGCTATACTGGGAAGAGTCACACTGTGCGAGCTGAAGGCTGTTATCTCACAACCCCACCTCTGTATGAAGTTCCCAACTCCTCAGGGGGTCGGAGTGCTGAAGGGGAACCAGAAGATGGCCAGGGCATGTTATCAGGACACGTTTAAGAAGGTTGAGCTCGCTGTAGCCCCTGGAGGATCTGGAAGTAGTAGGCCGACTCAGCCCGGCCAGCAGACAATGAGCATATCGGACATTGAGCATAGACCTGAGGGTGTCGAGCAGAAAGCAGAGCCGGTAGAGCCCGTGGAAACCGTTCCTTTAAACCCTGATGTGCCGGAAAGAACAGTAAAGGTAGGCACCAAACTCACAGAAGAAGAACGAGCAGAGCTTCTGGAGTTTTTGAGGGTCAATCAAGATGTGTTCGCGTGGACTACTGATGAAATGCCTGGCATCCCGGCAGAGTTAACAGTCCACAAACTCAGCACAGATCCTACCAGAAGGCCAGTGGTGCAGAAACGTCACCTTTTTGGCCCTGAGAAGCAAGCCGCCATAGACGAGGAGATACAAAAGCTGTTACAGGCGGGCTTCATTAGAAGAGTGGAGTACTCTGAATGGGTGTCCAACCCTGTGCTCGTCAAAAAGTCGAACGGCAAGTGGAGGATGTGTATTGACTTCACCAACCTCAATGATGCGTGTCCGAAAGACCCTCATCCCTTGCCAAACGTCGAGAAGTTAGTGGAGCGGGCAGCTGGGCATGCACGGATGAGTTTTCTTGACGCCAGCTCGGGCTATCACCAGGTTCAGTTGCTGTTGGACGACCAGGAGAAAACAGCTTTCTACGCGGGGGACGCTATCTACTGCTATGTCATGATGCCGTTCGGCCTCAAAAATGC